ACACTTTCCTGACACACCTTCTTAAAGCATTAAAAAACAAAGATGTCACTTTGAGAACCAAGGTGTGCCTGATTCAAGCTATGCTATTTTTTAAAATTATGTAATACATAGGTGAAATTTTTAAAAAAACCCTGAAGAAAAACTGATGCCTTTCAGTTGATTTATCGGTTTATGGTGTTGGTTAATAAGCAATTTAATGCACCATGGTTGTTGTTGTTGTTGTTGTTGTGTACCATTAAGTCAGAACTGACCCTTACTTGATCCTCTGGTGGGTTTTCAGAGGCAGTTAATTGCATGGGAGGATATGGCCCATCCTTCTCCCACAGAGCAGCTGGTGGCCTCAAACTGTGTACCTCTGGGATTGCAGTGCAGCTTCTTGCCACTAGGCCACCAGAGCTTGACTACCAGGGGTGGGCGGGGACAAACCCCTAGTCTATCACGGAAGAAGTGCTCCTAGAAAGTTCCTTAGGAGCGAGGAGGATTGCAAGACATGTGGTCAGTAAGTATCAGTCTCTGGAGAAGCACATCATGCTGGGTAAATCAGAGGGACAATGAAAAAAAGGGTCATGATGGATTGGCATAGTGGCTCTATCCACGGGCTGAAATACAGCAATGGCTGTGAGGGTGATGTCGGACTGGGCAGCATTTTGTTGAAATTCATATTAAATGGAGACTCTGTGGCACCATTTTTTTTCTCCACAGAGACTCTTTGAGTTGCTTTCTACTTATTGGAGTTGACTCATAACTGACCCTCCACTGGGTTTAAAGAGGCTGCAAATCTCGTGAGAGGAAACTGTGGCTGGTGGATTTGAACCATTTGTCTTTGGGTAGGCAGTGCAACCACTTACTCACTAGGCCACCAAAGCTATCTAACAATACTAACTCTGATTAGAAAGCATAGATACTACATTATTTTCTAATGTTGAAAACACATGAGAATCAACACACTATTAGAACAAATAGAAGTTTAGCAAGATTTCCAAGCGTAAGTAGTCATGTAAATGTGTTAGCATTTCTCTACAATAAAAATATAATTATAAAAGAAACTACAATAGCATTTATAACACAACTAATAATTATACATCTTCTAGCAATTATTTAAATATAAAGAATGCACAAAATTTACAGAAAAATTTGTTTTAAAAGGTATGAAAAAAATTCATGAAGGAGTATAACAAGTTCAGTGATTGACTTGGCATCATAAAAGTATCAATTCTCCACAAAGTAATTTACAAATTAATCTTATAAAAACCAACAAAATATTAGGAAAAATGCTCTGATGAAAAGTGAAGTTTCTCTGAGAGCTAAAATAATTTTGGAGTGAACAAAAGAGGGGAGGACTTGCACCATTAATTATGAAGACATAATACAATTTCTTTTAACCATCTTCCAATTAACTGACATCTACTTACATGAATCGTTAAACTGACTGGTTCTTACCCGATATCATGGTACTCGGAAAGCCTGCATTACTATACCTATGCATATTTGTGCACTTTTAGAGTTTTGAAGCTCTGTCTCACATACTTTGGGCACATGGCCAGGCGGGACCAGTCCTTGGAGAAAGACAACATGCTTGGAAGGGTGGAGGGACAGCACGGGAGAGGAAGACCTTGGATGATATGGATTGACACCGTAACTGGGGCAATGGGGTTAGGTAAGTCTGAGTCAATGAATCTAGCTCAGGACAGGGCAGGGTTCAGAGCTATTGTGCATAGGGTCACTACAAGTCACAGGAGGCTCAATGGTACATAACAACAACAACCACCACAGTTTTATACTGTATAAGGAGAAGTGATAACATGGGGAATGCTGAGGCTGACTTCTACCCACTTCATAAAGGGGAACTATCCCCACCAATAATATAAATAGAGTGGCATCCACTTAAATAACATGCCTCCAGAAACTCTATGAACTTTGATAAATGTTGATAGTTGTAGAGGAGCTTCAAGCCTTTTGTTCATTGGGTCACTGTGAATCGTACTCAACTTGAAGGCAATCAACAACAACTACCACCACCACCAAATAGCTGCTTGGTCAGACACGCCACCCCACAAGCTTCTGCACCTATTCCTACCAATCACTGGGTCCAGTGTTCATTGTAAACTGACTGTCAGACTTACTCACAGTTGTGAGATTTATTAGAGAAATAGGTTGGGGGTGAGGGACACAAAGAATATCATATAGTGAAAGTCCAGGTTTAGCAAACAGTAGCCCCAAACCAGGCTAAAATCAAGACACAACTGCTCAATTAGTTCAGATACCTTCTCAGTCAACAAATGAAAGTTGAGATTCAGTTCAGGAGCACAAATAAACCTCTGGTTTCCTCAATAATCCAGCAAGCTTTGTCCCATAGCAGTGACATATCAGAATCGTACAGAAGCAAACCCTTTAAACTTTGGCTCCACCTTCTGTGTTCTATCAGGCTACACTTTGCCATAGTCTCTCAACCGTCCCATCAGCCTCTCTCCACCATCATCTTTCACAGTGTGGAAAGAGCTCTCTTCTTCCCACAGCTGTTGATGATCTCCAAGACTGTGTGCCCACAATTAAGGTAGCAGGAGACACACAATGCATAGAAAGGCCAATTTTCAAGGTTTCAAACACCACAATACACACCAAAACTCATTTGTCATACAGCCACATTTGTCATATCAATAGTAATTTTTTTGCGCAAAAAAAATTGTATATTTTTGTGCAAAGAACTAGAGCTGAAGAATAAAAATGGAGGAAATCACTTGACATTTCTCAA